GGGCTAGTAAAGCCCCGTTCTTGAGTATTGATGAAGATCGGGATCGAGGCTCGCTAGACAGTTTTGTCCGAGTGAGGACATCGGACTTGATCCCAGCTGATCGCATGTCGTTCCCCAAGAAGTGGAATATATCACGTAAGTGAAATTTCGCTTACAAAATTTTATTTCATGCTTTTTTCCTTGCTTCTTATCAGTGCTTTGTGGTGGTGCATCTGTCGCTCGGGTCCCGAATGCAGTCCCTCGACTCAAGGAGTGGGTCGAGTACATCGTGCTACAAAGGCCATATTCCGAGCACTCATGGAGAGAACTTTCGAAGGGCCGGTGGGAGGCCCATTCCCACGGTGAGATTCCTTTCCCGGGTAAGTAATATCTGGGTTCCTCTCGTGTCATTAAGTTCTTACTTATTTCATTTCCTTTTGCAGGTTTACCCAAGGACGTCACACTGAGGCCTTCATCCGGTAGTGAGGACTTACATACCGAGTCCCCTGTTCCAAGACAGGCAGAAGAGAAGAAAGCACCAGTGCTCGAGCACCATCTTCGGATTCACTCTATCGGTTGAGGGACGAATCCGAAGAAGAAGATAAAGCCTTCGATCTTATGGCCCATGTAAGGACTCGATCGGTCGTTTTGAGATCTAGCACGTCGTTTGGAAGTTTGAGGTCTTAAGTAGCTTCACTTCAGGTATTATGACTTGTACGCGTGGTCGGAATCGAATTTCGGGATGTTTAGAGTTGATTCGGGAAGAAAATTCTAAATTCAGAAGCTTTAAGTTGGAAGAATTGACTAAGGTTTGGATTTTTAGTAAACTACCTCAGAATTGGGATTTGAAGGTTCCAATAGGTTCGTATGATGATTTTGGACCTGGGCGTATGTCAGGTCGAGAATCGGGTGGCTAGGGAGTATTTCAGTTCTTATTACGGAAGGTTAGTATTTTGAAGGTTTAAGAATTTTCTAAGTTTGGGTTGGAATGGATTTTGATGTTATCTATGTCTGTTTGGGATTCTGAGCCTATGAATAGTTTCGTATGGTGATTCTAATCTTATGAGCGTGCCCGGACATTGATTTGGAGGTCCGTAGGTTATTTCGGCATCAATTTGCGAAAGTTGAATATTTGGATGATTTTGAGAAGTTTGACCGGGAGTGAACTTTTTGATATCGGGGTCGGATTCCGATTCTGGATGTTGGATTAGTTCCGTAATGTCAATTATGACTTGTGTGCAAAATTTGAGGTCAATCGGACGTGATTTGATAGGTTCCGGCATCGATTGTAGAAGTTTGATGTTTCAAAGTTCATTAAGTTTGAATTGGAGGGTGATTCGTGTTTTCAGCGTTGTTTGATGTGATTTAAAGGCTCGACTAAGTTCGTATGATATTTTAGGACTTGTTGGTATGTTTGATTGGGGTCCCGAGGGCCTCGGATGGATTTTGGAGGGTTAACGGATCGATTTTTGAACTAAGGCAATGCTGGGAATTTTTTGGTTGCTGGTGCAATCGCTCCTGCGAAAAAAAGGCCACAGGTGCGACGCCGCAAAAGCGGCTAGGCAAGCGCAGGAGCAGGTTTTGTTGGGCAGTGTTGGGACTGCAGATGCGGTCATCTCGCCGCAGAAGCGGGACCGCACCTGCGAAGTGGGCATCGCAGAAGCGGGGGGCGCAGATGTGCATACAGGCCGCAGAAGCAGCAGGCGACCTGGACATGGGTTCTCGCAAGTGCGAGACTTGGAGCCACAGAAGCGACTGTTGCAGGAGCGACCTTCTGGGACGCAGAATCGAAAATCGTGGCTGGGCAGTGAGGTTTTTAATAAAACGGGGTTTTGGCCATTTTTCATTTCATTTCCTGCATGAGAGCCGACCTTGGAGCAATTTTGGAGCACCATTTGCACTGTCAATAATGAGGTAAGTGATTTCTACCACTTGTGAGTTAAATATACGAATTTAGGGTTGTAAATTCATGAAAATTTGTAGAAATTTGGGATTTTGAAGAAAAACCTAGAAATTGGTATTTTATATTTTTACCACGAAATTGGACAAGAAATTTGGAATAAATAATATAATAGAGTTCGTGGTGTTATGGGTAAAGATTATCTTCGAAAAATTTCGAAATCCGGGCACGTGGGCCTAAGGGTGAATTTTATCGACTTTTCGAGCAGAGTTGGAAATTATTTGAATTCATTAGTTATGGGTATTAGAACACATATTGATTGATTTACACATTGTTTGCATAGTTTTGAATCGACAAGCATCGGTTTGAGGTGTTAGAGTGGCGTTGGAGCCGGCTATGGAACTTCGAAGCGAGGTAAGTCTCTTGTCTAACCTTGTAAGAGGGAATTTACCCCATAGGTGATTTAAATTAATAAATATTACTAATTATGGGGGCTACGTACGCACGAGGTGACGAGAGTCCATGCGTAGCTACTAATTATGCTATGTCCGAGTATTTTAGGAATCAAAACATGAATTACTTGTAATAATTGCATCCTTTGTTTAATTAAAGTACTGGAATTATATTGAAAATTGTTATAGGAAAGAGTAAAAAACCGAAATTTTGCATACTTGAATTTTTGTGCAAATTACTTGATTGTTAAAAGAAATTGTACATCCTTATGTGTCAGCCTTTTAATAACTTCTCATTCCGGAGGTTCATAAGAAAATGTCCTCCTTTATTGTGGAGAGGGCCGAACGCTTCGGCAGTATAGATGCATCTATGGATTGTGACGCACGTCCCTCGGTAGTGTATACGACACTCTGGATCGGGCCGTTCGACCTCGACAGAAATTGTGCTTAATAATAATAATTACACGATACCTTGATATCCTATTGCAGCTTGTGAAGATAATTGATTAATTGAAAATTATTGAATTTGAAAGAATTATTTATTCCCGCTTGTTAAGAAAAATTATTGTTATTCACATCAACCATGTCTAGTTAAATATTTCTATTTTAATATTATTGACCCATAGTGAGTATCAAAGTCGACCTCTCGTCACTACTTCTTCGAGATTAGACTTGATACTTATTGGATACACATTGTTTACGTACTCATACTACACTTGCTGTACATTTTTGTGCAAGTACATATATGTCTAGTGATCTTTTGGGCGCAGAGGCGCAGCTATCACGGTGACTTACGGTGAGCTACATTCCATGCTACGAATTCACAGCTACAGAGTCTCTATCAAAGTTATTTATATACCCCTGTCTAATTTGTATTCCAGACGGATGTTGCATTTATCA